GTTGCCTGTTTCTGTAGATTAAAGGGAGCCATCCCTGCTGCCACTGATAAATTAGAGAGAAAACAAAGGCTTTCACTGCCTCCTTCCAACACGTCTACTATGGCAATCGAGTGAAAAATCAGCACCAGAGCAGAGGACGCTGCCAGTGCTGGTTCAGCCTCAGTGCACACCTTCTGTTACGGAGACGCGGGAGAAAGGGGCGAGTTGCTTCTCTGAAGGCACCCGCTCCTTCCTTCACCCCTTTACTGACCCCCTGGCACTGCACTGGGCACGGGACAGGCTCCTAAAGCCGCAAATAAAATAACTAGGAAAAGTTAAGTATCAGCACACTGTCCATGTCAGGGAGTCACGCTCACTAACTAACAGATTTGTAAAGAGATGACCCTGCAGGTGAACAAAAAAATATATATATCAAGACATAAAAGATGGGGCTGAAGCACCACCGTTAGGGATAAGAAAAACTGGAAGAGAACATCTGCAGAATACCAAGCCAGGTGCGCTGGGGAGGATGGGGGAGAGACAAAAGCAAGTAAGGAAATTCTAAGGTTAGTGTGGATGTATTAAATGCACAACATGAAGTGAGATAAGAAAAAGGAGGAGGAACAAGCATCTGAAGAAATGCTTGAAGGCCCATCCCCATATTATTACACTATATTATTAGACTATACACATCCTATTTAGCGTCAGGAATATAAGGACACCGTGAGCAACTTATCATTCATTGCTCCATAGGGAAGAAGAGATGAAACGTTTTTAGTCTGAACTGAAGGTGAAAAGCATTCAAATTCCTAAGAAACTGCTAGGCTATATAATGAGCAGATTTGAAGCTACTTAGAGGAAACAGCATCAGAGAAGGATGTTCATCACCCTGGGCAGGCCACACAAATTAAGAGAAAGTAGAGCTGTGAATTACAATGAACAGAGACTAAATAGCTGCCTGTGTTGGATTAAAGGATTTAAATTGTCAGCTTGATGTATAATGAATGTGAAAACCCAGCACTTAATTAAATGGCACATGATAGAATAACTTTGTTATGCTTTAAACTGCTTAAGTTATCAAAGTATCCCTTATATTTAGCAATTGTTTAGCAGTATCTCTCTCCCTTGTGAGATCCACTAAGACATTGGTCATCTACCCTGTGTTCAGCTGTGGCAAAATACGGAACTTTTCTTTACTTTTTTTTTTTGTTCTGTAATCCGAGTTTCCGACCATGGCTAGTGGATTTCCAGCACCGCAAAGTCACTGAATGCTGCCGAGACACAGCGATGGGCTACCAGGTTGCTCCAAGGATCCCACTGTCAACACCTTGCTACCAAACTGAGTAGACACTGGGGATTGATAGTTTCTTCCTAGACCGCAGACCAGCTCCCTGCTCACCATCCCTGAAACGCCTGTTGGGTCTTCAGCCGTGCCTGCTCACGTGTGAAGGGTCCCAGCGCAGGGGTGAGAGAGCAGCCCGTGCCCAGGCAGCCTTTGTCAGGCCTGGCTTGTGCCAGATAAAAACTGCAGCCTCCTCCTTATCTGCCTTAAGGAGCACATCTGCCACAGGGGAAGACAGAAAACGTGTTCTGCCATTGCATTTTGATAACAGGAACTGACAATTTTTCAACCTGGGAAGCAAATCTAATTGAGTTACTTTGTACAGAATGAGGACAGTTAGAATGGAAATTACACAGGAGACTCAGCAGAAGCCAGATGAGGGATCACCACAAGGGCTAGGACAGGGCTTCTGAATCACATTTTAAAGGAATCATATAACACAGAAGGACTCAAAGGCCAAATAAAGGCGATTAAGAGGACTGCTCCCATCCTACAAGGGTTGATATGAAGAAACATGACCACACAGTTCTCCAGCTAATTCATGATCTTTTTTTCTTATCCTAGTCAATTTATCACATCCTTTTACATTTCTTGAGCCTTTGGCAACTCATGTGCTGGTCATTCAAAAGGAAGGCTTCCTTAACCCCGGTGTCCATGTGCACGCAGGATGGTCAGGAAGAGCACGAGATAGGAAGGACCTTCCCTTTTACGCAGACACAGTGAGGACACGGGTCCTGGAGATGACTCAGCGTCCCAGAGGGGCACGTGCACGCTCAAATCAGAGACGTATTACATGCACAATCAAAAAACTGAAAGAGAAAAAAGTACTTACAGCTACTGCTATTCTTCCGAGTACATGTTCTGGAATTTTTCGATAAACATCCAAAGAACCCCCTGCAGGGACAAACAAAATGTGCTTAGGTAACACAAAATGAAATACTGCCCTAGATTTGAAGTCACAAGGGTTTTCTAGGCCTTGGTTATTAATAAAAACACCATCAATGATGTAACAATAACTGTGTCAGAAATAACTGACCTTAAAAACCTACCAAACTCTGAATAAACACATGAAACAGTTCTCAGGTCTCTCTTCACCCAAGTTACTTATTTTTCCTTGCAGCTTTAATACCAGAACTCCTTTTAGGTAACCTCCCAGTCACAGGACTGAGTATTGGGAGAACTCAAAATCACCAGGCTTGGTGTAACTTCCCAGGAATAACAAAGTCATCCCAAAAAGCAACAGTGCACTTCAAAGTCCGAAGCATCCTAGCCCTTGTCCCACAAATCCGGTGCTAACATTACATGGTAGCTGATACAATGCTTAGATACATGCTTAAAATTGTTGCCTCCTGATGATCAAACTGGTGAACGTTTGGTTGAGCGTGGCAGTCTGTGTCCACACTGATGTCTGAAAATGAAAGACAAGGAGCTCCTGGGCAAGCAGATAAGTTTTGCCAGTAAAGTCCAGCATGGGGCAAAACTTACTGTCTGGCATAACCCTGTCCAGCCAGCATCATACGTTCATGGAAAGAGAGAAACCAAAGTCCTCCTAATCCCCAAGGGACTGGGAAGGACTGTTTCCTTTACCTTCCACACAGGAGACTCATGATCAATCCAGTGTTCAAAATGTCCCTGGAGTGAAATACAAATTCTTGGGCAAGAAAGTAAATTTAAAATTGAGAATTAAAAATATCCAACTGGGCAGGGGGGGGGAGGAGGGGGGAAGAAAGGACAAGCAAGTTCCAGGCAGAGCATATTACACTTAGCTTGCAAGAGCGTGTTGTCTTATTCAAGGCTTGAGGTTCTCAGAAGTGCTCAGCACTGATCTAACTCTGCTCTCAGTGTAGCGTATGGATTCTACTGATGGACACCACTGGGAAAAGAGTTAGGTCAATTCCCAGCAATTAAGAAAACTACACCTTGTACTTTGCTTATGGTTCAGTTTTTAAAGTAAAAGCCATTCATTCTGAAATGCAGTAATCCAAAGAAGTCACAAGGTCCTTACTCCAGTCTTCAGCCTCAATTACACAATAGCTCTTATTTATACTATACTCCTTACTCTAATCATTGGGGTTTTGTGGTGGTGGTTGGTTTTTTCCCCTCATTTTCCTCATCACATCTACTGTCAGAAATACAGTATGCGTTTGTCTTTGCTGATGTTGCTTTGATTCCAGATCACTGAAACTACTATTCGTTCATCAAGTTTAATCTTTCAACTTACACTCTCCACACTGCCTGTGGATTATAATGAACCTCAGTTTTAAAAGTAAATGTAAGTACTATTTAATAGAAATAAGAGGATGTAGCGTCACAGATACCTACTACTCATTACAAAAGCCAAACAGAAGGTGGTGGTATGGCAGGGAATTCCTGTTAATGCTTATAACTCATCCTTAAATCTTGGACAAAAAATAGATGTATTTTCATACACCAAACTGCTACATCTTGCTATTACAGATGTCACTAAAGGTAGTGCTGTTTGAAAAATTAAGGAAGGTATCTTTTTGCAAACAATCAGGGAAATCTATCATTTTTCCATGGAGAAAAAAATTCTATAGCAGACAACATTTCCAAATCCAAATACATAATGTTAGGTCCCATATCTACATTAGACATCTGGGGATTGTCTGATAACCTGCACCTCTCGCTGCTTTTAAGGGGAATTTAGCGAGTGTTCAGCAGTTTTAAGGAAAAGGGGCAATAACATAAGTAAAAGGCAACAGTGCATTTCGCCGCCTTTATTTAGAAGAACATCATCTTTATTATAAATGTAAAAGGGCAAAGATTAGAAAGCCTCATTTCACATCTCTGTTGCTCTTTACGATCAATTGGCAGGTGAGAGGGTGATCCAGGTCTATTTGCAGGCTTGGAGTTACTTTCTCCTGCTTGCAGGTGCCAGGAAAGAACCAATACATGCACCTTTTCCCTATGTGTACCCCTCAGTCATGAGTACCCCAAAAGATGCAGATCCACCTGTATCTAGGTAATTCATAAAGGAAAAACCCATGTTTTGCACTATGGTACAGGATACAACCGGGGAAACAAGAGTCATGGGATATGGATTCAGGGAATATTACAAACTGGCCTAAGACAGTCAGAAGGGCTAAAAATTTGTCAAGGTTAAAGCTGTTCATCGGCAGGATGAGAAAGTATTTTTTCATATCTTTACCTGCATCCTTAGGCATCAAAATTAAAGGTCTGGGGGAAGAAAAAAAGGCAAGGTCCCTTTATTTGCACTTTGTTCTTCCTTTAAATGATTGCTGTTGCATTCTGCCAGAAGGAGCGCACAACATGAGGCAGACCAGAGGTCATCTCCAGCATAATTCCAAGTAATTTGTGCATGGTCAGTAAACACCATCGTTGTGCAACATCATGAGGGATGCATACCCTAAGGGCTTAAATATTTTCAAACAAGAATTCAGAACTGCAAGCAGTTATGTCTGTCATTTTTAAAAATCTCTGAATTAATAGGAGCATACATACTCTAGGCAGAGGCATGTTTTGGCATGAGCAGACACCTCCTTACTGCACCGACTCCTGCTTAACCCAGGCTTGCAAGTCTGAGTGCAATTGCAAGGACAGAACAGAGAAATGGCTAATGGTCACACAGCATGAGAACAGCAAAGAATTCAACTTGTGCCTTCTGTTCAATAAATATAATATTTTATGGAAAAATCGGAGAGAATACTCATGCTTGGAAACGGGGCACAATGATCACTGGGACAGAGCTAGTAAGTGTAAAAAGAGAGAAATAGCAGTAATAACAGACCATTTTAACAGGGAGAAAACAAAATGCACCATAAACCCCTAAAGGGTTTTATCCATGGTCCCCGTCAGAAAGAAAGAAGCTACTCAACGATGCTTAATGGTACACAATTTGGCTTTGGAAGTTTTCCTGCCAGAAAGCCTTCCCTCCATAGCAAATTACCTGCAAGATCCTTACTTCTTTATATCCAGTTTAACTGAACCTTTGTGAAAAACCTGGATAGCGCATAAAATGCTGGCTCATAAGAAAATCCTGGAGAGAGTAATAGACTATCGCTTGTAACAACAGCACGATGTTCAAAGTTGAACGCTGCGAAGGGGGTTCTTGCGCACAAGACACAAGGGGACTGCATCTGTCGTGAGACACGCTCTCAGGACCGATACGCAAAGGGCAGCAATGATTATAAATTGCTGTAATTAGTACACTTTTCCTGCCTTTTCTCCAGGAGTGCCACACAGCACAAGATTTCAAAGCAAAGCACTCATACATCTCCATAATGATAGTAGCATCAGGTTGTGGGGAAGGGGATACTGTTGGTGTGAAGATTCACATTGGGAGAAATAAGAGTACACTCAAAAAGAAACTCAGTGCAGCACCGCTAAACAGCTGCGTTGGAAAATAATTCCTTGTCTTGCAATTAAGAGACTATTTCCACTGAAAACACATAGGACATTGGGTTAATAGATTTCTTTAAAAGAAAATCTGTTTTGGCTATCAAAACAGTAGAAGTGAGGAACAGCTGTTTTGTCAGCGAGGACAGATTGTATGGAAGACTCAAATATCAAACCACAAATTAAGCTAGCATTTATTTCTGTTCTATTTACATTTTCAATAAAAGCAAGTGAAGTTACACTTGGGAAACTACAGCAAACCATGGAGAGTATAACACAATCCCAATACTAACCTTTTTTTTTTTTTAAATACTCGCAAATTTATTAATACTTTATATTTTCCAGTCATACTACTGCATTTTGCTCCATTCTGGAAAAGCACATCTTTATATGATTTTTCCATTTACATTCTAGGCAATCAGAAGCACACTAGACACACAACTCACCGTCCATGAACTCTGTACACAATGAAATTCTGTTTTCTACAAAAAAAGCACCATAAAATCCTATGATATATGATGAGTCACACTGGAAAAAGAAAAGAAAGAGAAGCCTGTTTTAAAATTTGCTGTAAGAAGACTATATGCAAGAATAATGCAAATGAGAAAATCTGTATACCTTATAAAGAATTTCTAACTCTGACATTATCTGCTTCTGGAGTTCCAGTGTTATATCTAAGGGTATGACCTAAAATATATTAAAAAAAAGAAAAAAAAAGGACATATGATCAGAACTGACACAAAAAGCGAGTGATTCAAATTAACTGAAGATCCATGTATTAATTATCCTTATGTGAGAAAAGAAAAGAGAGGAATAGGTGGAAAGAATATTTTAACAGAGCGATGAGCGAAGGAAAGAAATGGAGATGAAAGGACAGACCTCTTTACTTTTAAAAGTTAGTTACAAGTAAACTAAGTTGTACATCCAATTTTATCCATGAAATGTCATAAGGTTTGTGGTTTAACCATTTGACCAAGAGACAAGTTAGAGCTTGAGCACAAGCCCCCGTAATGCCGACCGTGTCCATGTTAACTCTAGGGCTAAGTACGTACTGCAGCATTGAAAGTACCTCGGTGGTGCCCTAAAGGAGTGTCTCTTACCACCACTCTTACAGCTTCAGTTTCTTTATTATTTACCCCCTTTTTAATAGTTATTATTACTATTAATAAAAAAATCTAAATAAATACTCTATTTATTTTAATATCAATTTCCTAACAGAGAAAACTGTTAAATATACAGAAGAAATGCAGATGACAGCAGATGGTACAGATGCTTAGGTAAGCATTGACCAAAGCAACCCTCAAAACAACTACCACCAGCTCGGCTTTGAGCGCTCAGAGGCTCAAACCAGCCGCTCACTGCCACGCTCCTCTGCTGCTTCCCTCATCCATGCCCTCATTTCTCACCGTTTCGAGCCAGGCTGCTCAGCAGGACTGAAGTACCAAGCGCTGCAGTGAAGGTGGGGTGCACTGTCTGGAGTTACAAGTTTTCGGGACCCTCTTTAATAAGGATGCTGGTGCCGACAGAACCAGCATTGAAACTCAACTTTACCAAACAGTTCTTTGCCATGATTATGTGAAGACTTGCACACAAAATTATTAAGTACTACTATATAACCCAAAATGGACTCCAAATGCATCTAGCCGGACTCAGTCTGCTACCACACAGTATTTCACAGTTTAATACTTCAAGCTAGAGGGAAACAAAACCTAGGCAATTTGCAGAATTAGCAGAATAAGTATTATAGGCTGCATATACTGCTGACGAAACAAAATATAGAGAGACCGTTTCCAAACACATGCATTTTACAGTATCAAAATCTGTCTAAAAGAAAAAACGGTAACCTGTTTCTATCAAGAGTTTGCTTTAGGGTTATTTATAAAAGCTGTCACTAAACTAAATTGTAAGTGTAATACAGGGCTGCCACGAAACGTTTAACACACTTGTCTAGATCAATAATCATTTGCCAACAATATTCACTTACATTTTTCCAGCATGAAAAACTTAAAATAATTTGCTGGAATACCATCAGTTTTAACCATTGAATATTAACAGAATTTAATCTTGTCAACAGTCTAAAATTAAATTTTCTCTCACTAAATTCTACTCACAGTGAGAAATTTCCCTGCCTCGTTCACCGTGAAGGCTTCACCGACCTGAGCAATGACTAGTTAGCATGATCGGCGTCAAATACATCACTGACATCCAGTCAACCAAGACCTGGCGTGAAGAAAGGTCTCTGGCTGATTTGCATTAACTATAATTACATACAGACCCTGCATTCTAATAGTGAGGATAACCCGGAAAAGCAGAGCTACCCTATTTACAAGTGTTCAGGCTACTACAGGGTAGGGCACGGACGGAAACGCACTGCAACGGTGTGGCAAGCGTGTGTCACCGCAAAGCAAATGGGGAGAGACCACCGTCTCACTTTCTCTGCGTAACTATCGTACAGAAGCATTTTCTTCCATCTAAACACGCGTGACTTACAACACAGGGGATGTCAAGGTTGGAGGAACCTTATGTTATTTACAGTGCTGAAATGGGGGCAGAAAGGGGAAAAGAAAAATACCTACACAGCACTGCCTTCATCCGCGCTTGTGACGTCCACGGTCATAGCCCTTATGTATAAAATCTCCAAGCGTATTTAGAAAGTGAAGTTTGTATGGGTGAAACGACTTTTAAGAATATGTGAGCTGGCAGTCTTAAGCATGGGCTGGAACAGCGTTCAAACATGAAAGAAAACCCCAAAACCTCCTCAAACCCATTGCTACCAAGCAAGGAAGAAGCTGTGACTAAGGATTTGGCTGCAATTTCCACAACTGTAATATGGGCAAGCAAATGAGACATAACATTAGACAACAAACTTTTCCAAAATGGCACCTTTGGAAAGAACTTTCTGGCAAAAAATCACCATTATTTTCTTAGAATTATTGAGAGCAGAAAAACGAAACCCAATTCATCAGGCATAAAATAACACGCGCTGTTCAACACATGCAGGAGCAGAGCTTCTTAGCAAGTTTGCACCAAGAGCTACCAACAAAAGTCCGAGGAACAGAGGAGCCTGGCGGGTTGCCGCTGCCCAGCGGTCCTCAGCCACGCGCGCTTGCCACGGGGTGACCGAGCCTCGGGGACGCGGATGAACGGGACCCATCTGGAGTCGGGACCAAGGGTAACCCGGGCTGGCTGGGAAGGGGGGCCGGCAGCCGAGCTCGGAGCTCCAGCGCCCGTCCTGGCTTCAAAACTAGTCCAAAGGGTGCCTCACAGGGAGAGCTGGCGAGGGACACTGGACAATGGGGGCATTTTTAAAATTTAAATGGCACGGGGGTCCTCTGAGATTCAGCAAGGGGCTCCAAGCACTCCTGCACATCTTCCTTAGCAAGCTCCTGCCTAAAATACAGCAACCTTGGAGCTGCTTAGCACGCTCATAACGTACGTGAACCCAACGTACCTCACGTTTCAAGTGAAAAGGGTTAATTTTTAAAAGAGGAATACCTGAGCGTATTTCCTCTGCTATCCACTACACCTCCAGGACAAATAAGGATGAGTTGTCAAGTTAAATACAAGCAGTCAAGTGACTGAATTATAATTTACTCTGTGCTCAATTTAAATTAGTGTGAGGCTATTAAAATATACAGTATAAATACGGCAATTCATCACAAGCTGTCATGGATGACTTCATCTATTTGCTGGAGTGGCATACGTTCCACTAAAGGGAACGAGAGCAAAATCACAGGTCAAATTAAGCTGCTATTCTGTTTTAATTCACTTATTTAATCTGTGGCGACATAATTGTCTTTTACAGTATGTACAACTCAAAGGAAATTTCGGAGTATTACAGTCAGTATACAAATGATTAATCAAATGGTCCATTTAAATGCTAGCTTAAGAGCAGGAGAAACTAAAAGCAGCTGAAGAATGGCAATCAGACAGGCTCAAATTTTTCATTCGGATTTTTCTCTCGAATTAGGAAAAAAGTTATCTTCAGAAAAATCTATTAAATCCTCTGCACATTACCCAGCTGTAAAGTTTATGTAAAACATCTAACGACATAGCTTTGGTCTATAAGATAGGCGTTAGCATTGGTTTCTTCTCCCGTTCAATCTATTTGCAAGATTATCTACCAGCTGAGAGCATTTTAATCAACAGGTTTTCAGAATGTCATCTTGTCCTGTCAAACCTGTATATTATCACCAAAAAAAAAGCCCCCAAAAATGCAGAGCTCTACTTTCACAGTGATGTCCCCTTTAGCATGGTTAGTCTCTCTCAAAACACTTGATCCTTGTGATGGTTGGGTCAAGACACTGGCATTACCAGCCCCTTTTTATTGCTGGGCATGCTGAGCCATAGATGCGGTAAGTAATTTTCCTGGTAGAGCAAGCTGGCACCATCACCGTCAGAGCAGGTTTCCTGACCTCCCGTTTGCGAGCACGGTATTTTAAACTACGATAACACACACACGTTGATGCAATATTTCTTCTGAAAACACACTGAAAATACAAAATTGAGAGTGACAGGACCACCATGAGTAGTATCTACCAGAGAACTCAGCTTCCCAAATCTTCGGGATGCTAATTAGCCACGAGGACTAACCAAACCCTTGGACTCTAAGGGAAACAAGGAGGTGAAATTGCTGGGGGAAACGGCTTTTTGCCACAGGGAGGTGATTTCAATTAACCTTGCAAAGGGTGAACTCATTTCCCCGCCTGCCCGAGCGATTTTTCTCTTGCTCCACCTCCTCTCCAGGCAGCTTCCGAGGGCAGCCCCAGCCCCGCAGCAGCACAGGGCAGGCTGGGGAGCAGCGCCGAGCAGAGCTGGCACGGGAGAAGATGCTCTCTGTAGAGCTCGGAAAAGATTATTTGAGGAAGCAAGGTAGTAGGTACCAGGGAAAAGCGGCATCCTCACGCAACCCCGGCATTTAGGGGAAGAGCTTTTTCAGTTCCGCATTCAAAGCTGTAATAAACAATATTTTTGATTATTACGTCTTCCGTACTTTTATGCCTATTGCAACTCAGACAATTCCTGTCTTACTCCAACTGCTCATGACACGTTTAGGAATGGTGGATACCACTTGAAACGACTTTTTCAAAGTGACTTTCTCAAAAAAATCCAGCAGTATTAAATAAAGACAGCAAAAAAATCCAGAAAGAAGTGAGACAAAAATCCCATTTTACAGTTTTCTAAGTAATTATTCCATAAATTAGATTTTTAGAATATACCCTTTTTTTAGATCTCAAACTAGTAATTGGAATGGTATGAATGCAGCCATTAATTTGTTTTCCAAAAGTCTCTACTGCTTTGAGTTTTAACAAAAATTGCCAAACTAAAAAAAAAAAGTTTGATATAAGGATGTATTTTAATTTTTTTAATAAATTAACTAATTTAATAATTCAGTTTAACAAATTACGTACAAGAGTTGGCGTAGTACTGTTGTCAGAGTTGCGCCACTAGTTTACCAGAGCTTTAACGGAACTTTCAGAGCAGGCTGGTATTTATCTGACCACATAACACTGCAGTACAGAGCTTCACTGCAAAGAATGCACAAGAAAAAAAGAAAAAAGCCAAATCAGTTGGATAAAAAAAGAATCAGGGTGGGGGCAGGACCTTAAAATTCATAACCAAACCTGTTAAAACCACAAAATCTCCTAGGGAAACAGAACATTATCCCCCAAAAACAGGGAAATTCTTTTTTATTTGAAAATGAGGTTGCAGGGACCACTCAAGAATATGCCCTTGAGGACGGTCTGGCATCAGCGGAGAAAGGCAGAGGCTGACACCCCGCGACCTCTCCATCACGCCTGTAACGCCGGGGTTCAGGACGGCGAAGCAGCGTCTCTGCCCGGCGCTGGCGAGGCGAAACCACAGCTGCCCTCGGACACATCCCCGTAACCCCGCGGGAAGATGCGGCGGTACCTACGCACGGTGCCAAGCAATTCCCGGCGGGTGAAAACCGGATTTCTGGGAACTCTGTGCTCATTGGGACTCACTAAATTTACGGACTGGAGTTTTCCTGCATAAGCAACGTGGAGTTTAATGCAATAAAACAAATTGAGATCTAACAATCTGAGGGGGGGGAAACCAAGGTCAAGAAAGAATGGAGAGAAAGACAGAGAGAAAGAAAATTACTGTAATATCTTACCTTTACTGCGAGTATTTTTCCACTAGGGACATGATATGCCCTGCATGAGGGAAAAAATTAAATAACTTGAGATCACATAAAATTACCTCTATACATATGTGCAACATGTATACACTAATTTCACAGAAAAATGACTTGGAGCTAATACGTTTTACGATAAACCAATTTTATACAGCATTTCTAAGGAAAGACTGATGAAAATAATTGATCAAAAGAATATACTTACAATGAAACCATTCAGCAGGTTTTTACATCTGCATGTTTTATATAAAATATACACATTGAAGACTTTCACATACCGTGTAATAGCAAACTTACAAGCACGAATTTATCCTCTTTCACATTTTCTTTTAATGCAATAAAATTATGATGTATCCATTACTCAGAATCTTCACATAAAACAAGGTTTATCATGCAAGTTTGCCAATTTTAAGGGTATTTTCAGTGGTAAGACAGTGAGATACACAGCTATATCGATTAAAGTCAAGTAAAACGGGTAAGGACTCATTCTTTATCCTAACCTAAGGACCCACAGAAGATACTGGTGAAATGAACTTTCTGCATTTGTATTTAAGATTAGCGTGTGTGTGCACGTATAAGGTTAGAACGCGTTATTGTTAATGCTCACATGTATCCACAATAATGTCCCACAATATTTCAGGAGCAGTTTGCCCTCATTTCTGAAGCCAAACATTTATAATTGGTCATTTCACAATGGCTTGTGTATTCCTAACCATGAACTCGTGAGAAAATAAAAAGGTAGGCGAAAAAGAATGTCTACTAAAAATCCGATATAATTTTGTATAAAAACAAAACCATTAAAGGTTTTCCTCTTCACTAGTTTTATTGTCTCATACTGATTTATGACACTGTGCACAGTAACGCCATATATGTGGCACTAACTTTAAAGAATTATATTTTACCACTATATACCTCTAACAGTTATTACTGAAGAAGAAAAGCTTTAATAGTTTTTTTTTTTTTGCATGCAAAAATCACACATAGTACAGGGCGAGACTGTTGTTTAATCTTATTTATAACCCTGAGTACTTACATAATTTCTTTCAATAGCTTGGAAGTTTCTAAGAACTTCACCTTCATTTAATAACTCACGGATAAACACTTCTGTAACCGGCTGGCATTAGCTTTTTGGAACAAACACAGTTTAAAATGGCACACCAAAAATCAGCATTATTTAGTATCAGTACAACAGGCAAAACCAGGATCATCAGACGAAGCTCTGACAGACTGGTAGCTGAACGCATAACCAACGAGACCAAGAGGGTAAACGAACTCTGCTGTAACTATGGATGAATCAACAGTGGCAAAACATTATGGACTTAAGATCAGCAGAAACGATAAGAAAATGAACAGGTTGAGATAGCATGCCTAACGTCTGTTAGCTTAATCTGTACTGTGCCGGACAGTTTGGCAACTTAATTAGCTTGTCAAGAAAGCTGATCTTTTTTCCATAAGAGAGATCTCCTGTTTCCAAGTGAATTAAAAGGGAAGACTTGATTATTTAATTATGATGCACGCTAATTCATCCGTGGAAGTTTGGGTTAAATTTCCAGCAGAGGGCAGATACCTGGTTTGGTTTACAGAGCACTGACAGTACCAATTTAACATTTAATTATCGCTGAGAATTGGATCACAAAGGGGATACCATGCCCGTGGTACAGCGTGTCCAGTGGCTTTGCAAACGGCATGCTACCTGGGAGGAAAGGAATTTGCTTACTCCGGGCTGATCCGGCATCTCCATTGTCCTGACCTTCCTCAACACAATAACTGTAAAGTGATTAATGAAGTTTGAATAGGAGCTTTGGTTACACCAAAAGACAACCGTACACCTCTGTAGTGTTTTAATTAACAGCTAACACTTCAAATTAGTCTGTAGTTGCTACAGTAATTACCCGTTCCAATGAGTGTGCAGGGAAAACGTTTTTGTTAGATATTATGTAGAACTGGAGGTTGGTATTGAGCATTTTGGTTACCGTCAGCACAGCTAAAGCCTGAAGATTTCCTACCTTTATGTAGCTTCAGAAGGATGCACTAAAAAAAAAACCAAACCCCAGCGAATAACGTGCACAGCATGAAGAAAAACATAGTTTTGGGGCATACTGCACCCATCAGTAAGTCTATGGATGCCTACGAGGAGACTGAACTAATATTCATGCCCTATAAATAATGTGAAGTCTCATCTCAAGGGTCAACTGTCACAGATTTCAGTGTCACCTCCAAAAGTAAGTAAACAAACTCATCACTGTAGAACCAGATCATTAGACGAAGCAACGCAGCAAAATGCAAAAGGTTCCTCAGCAACGCTGTACGTTTCGGTGAACACGCAAAAATCTTCCAGGATGGCAGGCAAATGATGTCGCCTGACAAACAGCTACGACGACAGCTCCTCTTGCTAGGAACGCATTTGAGCAGTGCCTAACGGGAGAGGCCAGTGGATGCTCAAGACGAGTGAGAACAGTTGCTAAACAGCTGCTGAACTACTTAAAGACAAACGTAAAGAGCAGGAATTAAATGCATTGAAATACAAAATATTCAAGGAAAACGCTGTTTTGACGTTTGCAAAATTTCATCCCTTGGAGAAACCAGCTCTGGGAAAACAAGTTCATTTTTCTGCTCTTTTTTGTTGGGGTTTGTTTTTGGTTTGCTTTTCACCCACTGCAAAAGCTATAAGGGATGACTGAGAATAGGTGGCGATAAATCATTTATTGTTAAGGAGAAATCAGAGAGACACGGAGAGCCACCCTCTGCAATCAGGAGTTTAAAAAGTCATTCTGAACACTTACGGCCAGTGTCAACTATTGAAAATATAAAAGTTGTTATTATTAAAGTTTTGTTGCAGTTTGCCAACTGCAGGAAGCCGGTTCCGATGCGCATTTCTCCCCTCTCCGCTCTGCCTCTTAGTTAAACCGGGCATTTAGAAGACATGCCATGGCATGGACCGCTCTTTTTCCTCTCTGGAGAGGAAACTCCTAACAGATATTAGGACAAATCAAGAATATATTCTTATGCAGGGCCTGATCTAGATCCCACCCAGGTTAGTTGGAGAATTGCATCTACCACAAACTTGATGTTTTATTATTTTAAGTGCAAACAAATGGAAATGCTATGAGATTAATGACCATTTTAGTAACAACTTTCTCCATTACTAAAAATACATTTTAGGTATATACATTGAAAAATATTGGCAGAGTATTTATTAAAATAGTAGAAAAAACCCCACAACAGCAATCAGAGAATTCATTTGGTGCCCAATTTCTGCACATGAGACTGTAATTCCAACATCTTGCATCCAACTGATTTTTTATTGTATTTTATAATAGTCAGTTGTTAGTTATTGTAGCCACAGCATTTGTTAGGCTGAGGAGAATGATTAAAGTTATTTAAAAAAAGCCCACAAAACAGACTTCAGAAATCCATTTTGGGATACCAATCTTACAAGATGATGCATTCTTTTCGAATTCACCAAAGCCTGACTGGAAGTAGTTCCTGTGCCTCTGTAAGAAGACAGCACAAAAAGTTGTAGGTATTTTAAGCTGATCTCCACTGACATCTCCAAAGTGAACAGTAAAGGCTAGTGGTTGAAAATTGCATCTTAGCTTCAGAATATATATGGGATACAAGAAAATAATTCATACTAATTTTCCCCAGAAAATGACAACTCTTCATGCAAGCAAACTGTTCTTACTTGATGCTCAGAAGTAGACTTTAGTTCCTATGCCCAATACAGGTACAGGACAACCTCTGCTCTCGATTCAGTCACCAACTGAATAATCGCCAGATGAGGAGAAAGGTGATGGAGAGTATGTAGAAAGAAGCAGACCCCTTAATATTAGCAGTACCTGGTACAGGGACCAAGTTAAGAGATTGCTGTTGAATTAATACTGAGTTTTAATAACTCAGACTGATAACTCCCTCAACAGAATTTTTATAGTGTTCACAAAGAAGGAAGAAATCTTCAGGGGGGATGGAGAAAAGAGAGTACGCACTTTCAGACCTCCTCAGAAAATGTATGTTACAGCAGCAGAGGCAGCGGGGTAGAAAGCACTGCACGAGCTCTGAGAAAGAGGGGGAAAAACAGCGTGAGAAAGCTGGAAGCTGGACAGGGTGAGTTTTGGGGACCTTCCCCCTGCCCAGGCACACCGGGGTAACGCGAGACGGAGGATGCAGCTGGCCTCCCCCTTCGGGGGGTTCTCCACGCGCCGCACGCCCTGCGGAGAGGGTGGCTTAAAGCTGCCGCACGTCGTACACGAGAAGGACGGGCAGACTTCAACCACCGCGTCTTCTGAAACGTTCCCACCGGGGGAAAGAAATTTAAATCTCTTCCTGCACGTTCCCACTAGAGTTCGTTATTCTGAGCCCCCTTCGTCCATTACAACGAACAGCTTCTAAGCAAGACTGGCACAGTTGTGTCAAATATTTTATTAACCTTGACTATTAACCATATCCCTAGGCATTTAAAGCCCTGAAGGGACCCACGCGAGCCAAGTCCTTTAGCGTAACTTTGTCTCCTCTGCTCTGAAAATCAAGCGTGCCCCTCAGGGAGCGCTGCGAAGGCAGCTTGCCCAGCTCCGTGGAAAAAGCTGGGTTATTTCGAGGAATAAGAAAGACGGCGTGAGCCAGCGTGCACTCTGCTTGAGCAAAGCCCTCCAGCTAAGCTGGAAAAACTTCTGATGGACTGTGGAGTATGGCGTGAGCATCCCTTGTGCTCCAGAAAATAAAAATCAGTATCATGGAAAACCAGAAAAGGGCTTTGGGGGAACTGCCAACTCCTCGGCACCTCTCCCCCATATATAAGAGGTATTTCTACAGGAAAACAAATTAAAAAATTAAAGTGGCAAGAAGCAGCTGGTTTCTGTTTTAAAAAGGAAAAAAAAAAAAAAAAAAAGGTAGCTGAATTTCACATTGCCTGCTTTGTTCTTCTGGTCGTCTACTGCAAAGAAAACCAGAGGAGAAACGTAAGATGTTTGGCTCAAGCCTCTTTATGGAATAAACCACAGCCCATCCTAATAATTAACACTAAAACTTTCATACACTGAATATAGTGCGTCTCTACTCAGTTCAAAAATAAAACAAACAAAACCAACTAAACAGAACATGCACAAGCTTCTTAATAAATAGCTCAGATGTCAAACAAACAAAAAAAATTCTCCCTCTTTTAACTTGCTAAGACTAACAATTTTATATTCTCCCTGTGAGAAATTTTACCTATAAGCACAGTGGGGAGCTGCATTACTTGCTGTGACTGTGGTATAATTTCTTCCAGGGCAAGCGAAGAACTAACTTCAGGTTTCAACATGCAGGCACTCAAGAGAAACAGCAATTTTCAATTTATTTTCTAATTTTTAATTGTAAAGCATTTGCCAACATACGAGTGACTCCAGGATGGTCACATCAGAAGCACAGACCGAGTATGCAAAGATCACTGAGCTTTCTCTAATAGCTTTTCCTAACATATATAATAACTTTCTACTACAAACCTATTATTACTATTATCTGAAAACTCATAATTAATGCACTCTCCTCCTCCTAGAAGCAAACATTCATTAAAATTACTACATCATGCTGCTGATGCAAAAAAGCCCTGAAGAAGCCTGCAGCAGCCCACCATGTCGCAGATCCTGCTTCCCATCTGTTCACTCTGGCCACCAGGACATATTTTTCTATTGCCCCACCCCCCCCCCCCCCCCAATAGCCACGGAAACCATTTCTAATCAATAAGATATTCCTTGGCAAGACCGAACGATTCAAGGGAAAGCCATGACCCGTCTGCTATGCCAATGAGTTAGTCCCTTCCCTTCCCAGAAATATAACTAACATCAGCAAATATGACAAAATGATATACTGACAGCACCGCTGCGTTAGCGATGTGACTGCAGGACGCAGGGATGCAACGCTCCCCTCCAGTCCAGGTACCAGAGCAGCTTATGGCCAACGCCACAAACTCAGATCTGCTGCAGCTCTACTGGCTCACGGAAAGCGTCATTCTGCTAAAGGATGCTTTAGATGAAAGGGTGGCTGAAAGGGCCCTCGGCACAGCACCCGATCCAACCTCCCTCCTGAAGCGGGACTGTGGCAGTGGATGAGCTCAGCCGTGGCTTTGGCCAGCTCAGTGCTGGCAGCCCCAAGGATGGAGATCCCCCGCCTCTCTCACGCCCCGTTACGCGCTGCACCGTCTTACTTGCAAAGAGCTTTCCCCTAATGTCCACCCTGAACTTCCCAAACTGGCAACCTGAGGCCACAAAGTAAAAATAAAAGTATTTCAGGTCCTTACTCCCAGATACGCTTCCTCCTGCTTCACAGCTTGGTATGCATTCATTATACACATTTATTAAAAACCTCAAGACATCGTTTCGCTCAAGAATCGCAGATACAGTCCCGCTTCCCTGCATCTGTGCCAGCTCACCCGTAGCACTGCGCTGACGAACCGCTCCAGGCCTCCTCCCTACTCGACGACAGAGTAACGCGCACAAAAGGTCTCCGGGACCGAGGCAGCGTATTTCCAAACAGAAATGAACAGGCACATTGAAGCCCTAGGTTTCTTACTGCAAATAAAAAATGCACACAAAAAGCTATGGTTGTAGCAAGCAGCACCTTCAGATGCAAGGGCACTGAACGAAGTCAAACTCAACATTTTCCTGCCCTATGAGAAATAACCTAGAGCAAAACGACTGTCAGTGTCGCGCAAGAT